CGAGAATTTGTTGGCCCCCAAGGACGGCAAGGCGTCCGCAGCGCTCCTGGATTGGCCGGAGGCGCTTGACAAGTTGGAGCATTCCGCTCTGTTGATCGCGTCAGCGTGCTTCAGAATCACAGATCCTTGCATCGACGTGGCCCGCGTCGTGTATGATAGGAGGACATACGTAGCACCCCGCGGTTGCAGATCAGAGTGAGGGGGCGGGCGCGGGGTGGGTCGCGGGTTCGTCGCGCGTGGGCCGCGGGGTGGGTCGCGAGTGGGTTGCGGGTGGGTAGCGATTGCTCGCGCGTGGGTCGCGCGTGGGTCTCGCGTGGGTCGTGGGTGGGTCACGGTCGGGTCGCGGGCGGGCCGCGGGCGGGTCGCGCCGTGGGTCGCGGGCGGGTCGCTGGCGGGTCGCTCGCGGGAGGGTCCCCAAGGGGGCGCGGGGTTGGTCGCGGGTTGGTCGTGGGTGGGTCGCGGGAGCGTCGCGGGTCGCGGGTGGGTTGCGGGTAGGTCGTGGGTTGGGTCGCGGGCGGGACGACGACAAACAACAAATAACCACAAACAACAGCAACAATCCGCACCGCGGAAGCCCACTTCAGCCACGCACCCAGGGACAGTGAATGTCCGTTTGGCCCCGTCACTCTGACGAAGTGAAAGACACAGGCGTCCAAAGTAGAGTTCGCGAGCACGGACCTAGAATCGCGCAGGGGTGCCCCTTGAGTCCACAGGTGCCTATTCATCGTAACGATGAGCGTCTTGATGAACGACGTAAAACATGACGTGAGCAACGCGTTTGGCGACGCCCCTCTGGAAAGCATTGCGCCGATGTCGTCTCTGCAGGTGACACGGCCCTAATATCCAACGACATCGGGCGATTGCAGTCTTGTCTGGGCGTTTGCAGTCTTATCTGGAACAGCTAATCCTGCGAGCGCAGAATACGGTCTGGGACCAAACTGAGGAACATTGTGCACATGCAAATCCGACAAAACACCGACATCCTCACGCCACAGGACATGCCCTTGAAAGTTGTTACTTCGGCGGTGTACCTTGGAAGTCTCCTTCGGGAAGGCGGAAGCACCAGAGCCTCGATCGCCGGGAGAGCTGGGGAATTTCGCGTGGCATTTGATGTTTTGAAGACTGCGTGGAAACACACCAGCATTAGAAGACAAAGAAAGTTGCACCTCTTCAGCGCATGCATAGTGCAAAATCAACCTGCCGTTTGGAAGGCATTGTGCTGGCGCGGACAAAGACATAATCGATGCTTTTCAAGCGCAGCGCTTGCGCAAGATATATTCGGCAAACCACATTCCGTGATCTCGCACGTTAGCAACGAGGCGGTGTTCTAACATGTCGCGCCAGCACAGAATCAGCCTACGTGTCCTGCCAAATCAACTGGTGTTCTTTGACAAGTTGGCGGCGCCTTCTGACGCGAATCTACCACGCTCATTTATTCTGCAGAGGGAATGTGGTTCTGGCCGACAATGGCCAGCGAGGACGAGGCCGCCTGGGACTACAGTGGGCGATTGCCATGCAGGCACGAACGCGGACGATCAGGCAAAACCACGGACGAGCAAGGTTTCAGGGAGAAGCATGGCGACAAATTGTTTTCAAGTATGTATTATCCTGAATATTCGGGCCGCTGGGGCATCTACTGCCACGAGGGCCAGCTCTGGCGCCTCTTTCTATTCCCCCCTCATATTCGTCGTGCCCCTCCCCGTCCTCCTCCTCCGACACCCCCTCCTCTCGGGCCGACACGGTGTCCGTCCATCTTCATTTTGTCTTGGCTGCTGAAGAACACACCACTGCGAAGCGGGCGCCTCACGAGTGCCGGCGGCCGTGCGTGCAGGAGTTGTGCATTGCAATCGATGTGCCGTCCAGGCACGGTCATGATCGACCTTAGATTGGTACACACTGTTCATGTCTAGTTCTTCGAAAGTTCTTTGGTTTTTTTTTGGGGGGCACGCTCATTTCATTCCTGTTTGTTCTATCTTGGGCGCCTCCCTGGCCACCAGGGGGCCAGGAAGAATTAGAAACGAGCACAATTTGAAATGAGCAGGATTAGAAATGAACGACGTGTAATTAACATGATGTGGAGGGTCCCTGTAGGGAGGGAGCTCCCGCCTGAAAGTCCCGCGCAATTCACAGACGGGCTTTTCCCGCTCGAGACTTCCTCCTGATTCAGACCACAGGACCCCGCAAAGTATGAGTGTTACATAGTTCCGATGACCCCCGCTGACGAGCAACATGATTCGGGAGGCCTAGAGGGAGAGGCTCCCGCTTGAAACTTCCTCGCAACAGGCTTCCTCCAGATTCAGTTCAAGCGACGATGATTACAGGATGCGGATGACCCTTCTCGGATTAGTGGCATGATTTGGAGTGGGTTCGGTAGAATGGGGGCTCTCGCCTAAGAACTTCCGGCAACTCACTCTCACCAGGCTCCCGCGCGAGACCTCCTCCAGATACATTCTTGAGGGGCGAAAAGTGACGACAGTTACAGGACTTCAATGGCCCCTTCGGACTGGTAGCATCATATGGGCGAGCCCTTTTAGCAGGGATTCCCGCTTGAGACGTCCTCGCAATTCACTCACGGATGAGGTTCCCGCTTGGGGTTGTCACAAAGTGAGTATGTAGTGATGAACGCATGTGTGCATAATCTAATGCGCGAGTGTGATTATTGTTGGTGATAATGACGATGGTGGTCATGGCGATGGTGACCATGACAACGGTGATGACGATGATGATGAAGATGATCATGATGATGATGATGATGATGACGATGATGATGATGATGATGATGGTGATGATGATGATGAGGATGGTGATGATGATGAGGATGGTGATGATGTTGATGTTGAAATTGATGATGATGATGATGATGATGATGATGATGATGACGATGTTGAGGTCGATTGTGATGATGATGCTGATGGCGATGATGACGATGATGATGATGATGATGATGATGGTGATGGTGATGTTGATGCTGATGCTGATAGCGTTGACGATGTTGATAACGATGGTGACGATGGTGATGATGATGATGATGATGATGATGATGATGATGATGATAGTGATGATGATGCTGATGCCGATGCTGATGAGGAGGATGAGCAGGAGGAAGCGGATGATAATGCTAATGGTAACGGTGATGACGATGATGTTGTTGATGATGTTGTTGATGATGTTGATTAGACTATGATGATGTTGATGATGATGTTGATGATGATGATGATGATGGTGATGATGATGATGATGGTGATGATGATGATGATGATGATGATGATGATGATGATGATGATGATGATGATGATGATGATGATGATGATGTGGGGGGGGTGGGGCGCGCAGGAGGGGCGCACAGAAAACAATAATCCAGCCCTGGCTGCCGGGAACAGTTCGTGTCTTCTTATCCTTGTCAAAGAAAAATGCAGGCCACTTGCGCGCACCCGCGCGCGCATGTCGAAATCTGTCAAGAACCATCGCGCTCGTGCTACAACCTCAAGCTAAAGACTTACTCCGTTGGCCAAACAAAACCGTGCGCACAGCACTCGCGCACCCCCGCGCTCACGAATCGAAAAGCGTAACATTCATTGGAAGTTGAAGCAAACAAAGATAAACCATTCCAGAAGGTTGCAGAATTGATTCAGATCCCCCCCAGCATCATCAAGCACCCGCCCGACCGAGCCATGAATCTGCATGAGAAAAGTCCGTGCGCCATTGAGCCAGCTGGGAAGTCCCCAAAAAGGTCCGACAGGTAATTGCATTCACGGCAGCTGGGGTATTGCTAACTTTGGCGCGGGTGGATGAGCGTGACAGTTGCTCGAGCATCGGAGCTGACTACTTCAAGCACTTGAGACAACACTGTCACTGCACCGCATATTTTCCCCCGTAATGAAGTCGAAGTATTTCTTCATGTCGGGGCAGGATTTAGAGACCCTACTCGGGGTAGGTTCTTGTCCTTACCAACCATACTGTGGTGTGGAGTCTTCGCTTCGAACCCGCAGCGCCACACGTCCCTTCACCTCGCCAACCCCCGTTCCTCCTTCCTCTGCCTCCCGCGTGTGCAAGCCGGCACACCTCTCCCGTGTTTCGTGGCGCCGTGGGGAGGTCCACATGCGGTCCCAGTGACCCAGTGTTCCCGACGGCATGGCGCACACGCCCCTTGATTCGGCACACCCCTCAGACGGTGCGTGTCCCCAGGCGGCGTTCTTCCATTTGCGGTCCCAGTGGTCCCGAACGCATGGCGCACGCGCCAGACGATGATCGGCGAAGCAGCTTTGAGTGCCCAGTGGAATAAGGCCATGCGCAAAGCCAGTCAAGGGTCTTGTCTGTTCCAACGTAGCGTCTACACAGCCAGCGTGATGGTATCCAGAATCAGCTTGTCTGCAAGGTTCCTACACGTTGCTTCTCTAGCTGATGTGAACCATTCTCGTGGTCCGGATTTGTTGGCCTGCTGCTTCAGCGGCATGGTCTCACGATTGTTCTCCCCTATGGTTTATTGCATGGTCTACCATATCATATCCCACATGGTTTCTTGTATGGTCTCCAGTGAAGTCTTCCACATCGTCTCTCTCTCTCTCTCTTGTATGGCCTTCCGTATGGTGACCCGTCTGCACATTACCGCAAAACGCTCTCTTCATGGTGTAGTCATAGCGTGTCGGGTAGTATGCCGCCAAGCTGCAGTTTCAAACAAACTACGGAAAATTTCGGGGAATTGGAGGGCCACGTCTTTGTTGAGGAAACACCATGCCCTACGTCTCGCTCGATGGCATGCAGTTATGTTGGATTGGGCCAGCTTGCCTCAGGTTTTCTGGGTAGTGGTATCATGTGTCACACGCCCTGCGTTGCAGCTTGTGTTCTGGTCAAGGATGCGCGTTGCGTCTGTTATGTTATGTTCGTATGTGTTTGCGCAGTGCCAGGGTGAACATATTAGTTCAGTCAAGGTCGCATCGCGTTTGACATCCTATGTGCGCTCGCTCCCCGCAGCCACGATGCCAGTCGGGGTGGGCACGCAGGTCGAGCTTGCGCCTCTGTCCGTGCGGGCGCTGAGCATCGACGGACCCCCAGCTTTCCCGGCCGGGCGGGCTCTGAGAGCGCCGTGTTTGTGCGAGTCAAAGCTTGCATCAGGTGTCACTGTTCGACAGCGAGAATGGTGGAAGGAAGCGAGAAGGAGCGGGCCTCCTCGGAAAGTTCGGAAGCCATCCGGCCTTCTGGGAAGCTGGCTAGGCTTTCCCCGAAGACGCATATAATGCCTGCCTCCTCGGAAAGTTCGGAAGCCATCCGGCCTTCTGGGAAGCTGGCTAGGCTTTCCCCGAAGACGCATATAATGCCTCAGGCGGCCGGAGGGCTTCTGAGAAGCCCCGCCGCCTTCTGAGAGGGCCTGTTTCTTCTCACCTCCCTCCCTCGCTCGCCGCAAATGTGACTTATTGGATTTGGTGGGTTTGCCGTTTGTTTCGGCTTTCAGGGGTCGGATCTTGGAGACGTCGTAGCTGGTGTATCACTTATCTCCCGTCAGCCCTCTCACAGCAGATTGCGGTTGCACGCCTTTGGTGCGTTGAGAGTGCAGAGGTTGCGGGACGTCAGGGGAACCCGAGCGGTTGGGATGGGGAAGGCAGTGGGGCAAGCGAGTGAAGAACATACGTTTTGCAGTTTGGGGAGAGAGGGGGGGCCTTCCTGGCCCTTGATTCCGCCCCCTCTCTGGTCCATCCTGGGTGTCGCTTGGTTTGCTGAAATCAAGACATGCCGCACCGATTGCACGGCGGCCGCGCTCAGGGCGCGAAGGGTTAAGTCCGAGATTGAACGCGCTTGAGCCCTTCAAAGGCTAAGCTGACCAAACGAGGAAGGGTGCGGAGCGACAAACGAGCGAAAGCGCGTCGCGCAGCACAACACGGCGCACGTCGTGCGATCTCCGCCGTTGGTCTCGTAGTTGGCATACGCGCAGCTGTGCTCCAAGCATCTGCTACACGTTGCTATCCTCTCTACGTGCTTCGACCGTGCCTGCCTCATCCACTGATTTCCACGGTGGGGGAGTGACAAGTGCGCATGAAGGAGCACGATAGTGGTGCAAATGGTGATGGTGACGATGACCTTGACGGTGATGATGGCGATGGTAGGAAGAAGATGAAGTCGATGGTAGTGTTGATGATGATGATGATGATGATGATGATGCCGATGGTGGTAATAAGGACGGATGCGGTGGGGCCGACGGTATGATGATGGTGCCGATGATGATGGTGATGATGAGGATGTTGGTGATGGTGGCGATGATTGTGGTTGTCATGGTGGTAATGGTGGTGATGACGATGGTTGTGATGGTGGTGGAGGTGATAGTGATAGTGATGGTTATGGTGATGGTGATAGTGTTGGTGACGATGACGACGACGACATCGACGGAGACGACGACGACGACGACGACGACGATGACGATGGCGATGACGATGACGATCATGATGATGGTGATGGGGGTGGTGATGGTGATGATGACGATGACGAATAGTAAGATGACGATGGCGAGTATGCTGCTGCTGATGGCGATGATGCTGATGCTGATGATGATGATAATGGTGACGATGATGACGATGATGACATTGATGATGATGATGATGATGCTGATGATGGTGGATTTTGTTGTGGTGGTGATGGTGGTGGTGGTGATGATGATGATCATCATCATCATGATGAGGACACCTCCCATAGGCGATGCGCTACGCCATCTGACCTCGAGCGAGTGCAAGCACTGTTTACAGGAGCCGCCGCGATGCACTCGAGACCTTTGCGCGCCTCCCGGGGTCCTTACCGAGACCAGAAGGCGATGGATTCGCACCGACTGACCAGGACAAGGCATTGGGATAATGGTGACGAGGAGGTTGTCCGTCGCAAGTTGCTCTGGACAGCTCCATCACGACGGTTATGGTGGTAACGGCTGGCGCTGCGTCTGGGTAGGGGCAGTCGTTTCGTTCACACCACGCCGCGCTCAAGCATGGATGCAGAGGCGGCACCCGATCCCCCAGCGCGGCCCCCACACGCGCAGATGCAAATGCCGGATGGCTGCCTCTGGGCTTCGGGCACGCTGCTGGCAGTCCAAGAGGCGCCGCCTGGCATCAGGCTCGCACGCCTGGGTGACCAGCGCTGCCGCCTGGCCCGATCCTGCTGACTGCGGGGGCCCTCGCCCTGGCCGGACCTGGCCGCGGGAGGAGGAGGAGGAAGAGGAGGAGGAGGAGGAGGAGGAGAAAAAGGAGGAGGGAGGAGGAGCAGGAGAAAAAGGAGGAGGGAGGAGGAGGAGGAGGAGGAATAGGAGGTGGAGGAGGAGGAGGTGGACTTGGTGCTGGCACGCCACAGCGGGGGCCAGGCCAGGCCGCGCCGCGCCCCACACACGAGGCCAGCCCACGGGGAACCTCCTAGGGGCAAAGTGCTCGCCTCCGATCGTTGTTTGACCACCCCCGAGCCTGAACGTTTGTTCCAGACGCAGGAACCTGTGAACACCCTCCGTCTTGATTTGGCCATTTGGCCAAGATG